TGGTAGGGTGGCCTTAGGTAGTGGTGGGGCCCAGTGGCGCAGTTTCTTTGATCACCAGACCGAGGTACTCTAAGAATGTCCCCATGTGCATTGTGTGGACTTCTCTGTTGTAATTGAGTTTTTTTGTTTTTGTTTTTGTTTTTTGTAATTGAGTTTTGATTGCTGGAGCCTCAGGCTGACTGATAGTGAGGCTCAACCCCAAACACAGCACGCAGGCTTCCATGTAGGTGCTGATCACACAAAACACACGAAGCAGACTTCACCTCAGCAAGGTTTGGTGCCTGCCAATATCTCCCTGTGGATATGCTACCTGTGAAGCTTATTGGGTCCTGCTCTGTTGTTGACTAAAGCTGGCCACTGGGTGTATTGGTTCTGGGATTCTTTGGAGGGACTGGGTGCAAGCCAATGTCAGATGCTGTCTGTGCCAAGCCCTGAGCAACTTGTTTGGAGCTATCAGCGATCCACATCTTGTGGTCCTGGGTGTATATGGAAAAGACCAAGCTGGGCACCAAGGTCTGCTTTTTCTAGCCCTCAGTCCAAGAATAGGTCAGGCAAAGATCCGCCTCTGCCTACAGGCTCTCTAGTGGTTTCAGTCACGTAGTCAGCCTCTAGCTATACGTCCTCAGAAGGGCATAAGCTCCCCAGGTATTCCGGTGGGGGTGGCTATTGCGTCCCCCCAGGCTGGATGGGAAAGATCCGCGTGAGAAAGATGGTTTCTGCGATATGGGGTAATGACTCAGCATGGGATCCCAGCTGCTGACCTCTCAGCTCTCTCCCCAGAACCACCAACTGCAGACTCTCCTCACACAGCTCTAGACCTCACACAGCAGCTGCTCTGCTCTCCCTCTTCTGGAGCCCAAGGTGAGTGGCTGCAGATGCAATGATTTGTATTCGGTCTTTAAGAGGTTACCTTTGTTTCTAGTCATCTCTCCACCTATCCTTTTCACAGCCAGATATTCGGAAACCTTTCCCAGTTCTGGTGCTCTGGGCTAAGGAATCCAGCTTGGGGTTTAGACCCCAGATTTCTCAAGGGGAACCCCCTGCAGCAGAAATATACCTCTGGGCCTTCAGTTGCTGCCTGTGGGCTAGCCTCCGCACTTCCCAGCAGTCTCAGCTTGGGCTTCTATTTAAGTCCTTGTGTTGTGGGCCCCAGAAAAGGCACCAGGTGTTAGACTGGTGGGGCCAGACTGGAATTGGGTTCAGCAACCTCAATACTTGAGCTCTGGCTAGGAAAGAATTCAGAGCCAAGACTCAAACTACTAGCATAAGAGAACATCCTTTATAATGAAGAGCTAATATGCAAATGGTCACTATATCCTCATGCACTAACAGCTCAAGACACTCAACACTGGGGAGAGATGAATGGGGACCAGCCAGGCACAAATGAGCTCTCGAGAGAGGAATGGGGGGCCAGGCTGTGGCCCAGGAGAGGGACAAGCTGCCAGCCCTGTGGTCCAGGGTGCCAGCGCCTATGACCTGGGAGAGGGACAAGGTGCCTGTCCTGTGCTCTCGAGCGAAACTGCCTGTCCACGGTCCCCTGTGGCTGCAGCCAGCCTGGGCGAAGCTGGCCCAGGTCCTTGGTGCCTGCAGCCAGCTAGAAGGAGGGCATCCCGGGTCCCGGGAGTGGGGCCAGGCAGAGGCGTTCAGGGGCAGTCAGGCCAGCAGGGTAGCAGTTAGGGGCAATCAGGCAGGCAGAGGTGGTTGGGGCTATTAGGCAGGCAGGCAGAGGGGTTAAGGGTGATCAGGCAGGCAGGCAGGTGAGTGGTTAGGAGCCAGCAGTCCCGGATTGCAAGAGGCAGTCAGACATCCCCAGAGGAGTCCCAGATTGGAGAGGGTGCAGGCCTGGGGTCATCAGGTTACATGAGTTCATGTGCATTGAGAACTTAGAACATTGCCTAGCACACTGTCTTGCTGCCTAAAAGTTTGCTGTGGTCATCCCCAAAGCTCTGTAGCATAGAGTAGGAATATCTTAGCCTGGCATTCAAGGCATAGTCATCTTTTTGCCGTGTCACTCTCACAAAGCTTTACCCAAACCAAGTCTTCACCTGCTTTGTAGGTCTGTGCCCATCACTGCCAGGCTGGTCCCACCATCCTCACAGCCTGTCCACAATGGCTTTAACCTCGAAACCAGCCTAACACATCTTCATCCCACTACCCAAGAGAAATCAGGTCATCATTGGCAGTTACTGTTTCAATGGCAAGAGAAACTGAGGATGGTAAAGTATTCATAAACAAGTGTAAGGGAGGAAAAACAATTGTTCCCCTTCACTGACTCTTACCAGTTTTCCCGGGATTCCATCTGCAGGTTCTGAGCGAGCAAGGTGTCTCAGAGGTTCCACCGGAATCACCAGAAACTGTAGGAGAGAAAAAATCATTTTCTCTCTTCTTAGTTCTTGGATAAGACCAAGAACTCTCATAAAAGAGAAAAACAGGTTATTAACATTGAGATCTCATATTTATATGGGAGATGCCCAGGGAAGGGTTTAGAATTCAGGCTTAAATACCAGCATAATGGGGAAAGGGCTGCGGGAGAGTAGAAGATTTTTAGGGAAGCTGAATGGGCCCTTAGAAGAATAGTTGGAAGGGTTGACTGGGTGTGGTGTATTTCTGATGTCTCCTGTAACAAGAGGCAATCTTCATGGTTGGTGAAACTCCCTGGGAGGGGATTTATGACAATGAGTTCCTTTTGGAGGAAATGCCTTCAGGCAGACAGTAGTTTAGAGAAGACCTCTCCCTGTATTTGCTGTTTTTTAAGCACCTACAGCTCAAAATCATTAATTTGATGCAGTGGCACATTTTGGAGGTGGCATAATTCTGCTTCCCTTCCTAAGGAACAGCTCAGACAAAGGGTGAGGCCAGAGGGGCTGGGGAAATGAGGAATGAAGACTGGGCAGCACCCAGAGTGAGAGGGCTGGGGCTAGGGGGGAGGGGGGGGGGAGCGTAGGGTTAGAAAAGGTCCCTAGAGCAGAGCCAGGGATCCTTTTTTTTAATGAGGCCTGAGGAAGTGTGGTGGGAGTGGGAAGGCCGCTGAGACTCTCCTATCTGACCGAGTGTGCCGTGAAAGCAAAGGCCCAGCCACTCTTCCTTAGCTGTTTCTTAGGCTGGAGTTTGCAGTCTCTTAGGCCGTGTCTCCCTCAGTGCCAAAGACCCGGCTTGTTCTCTGCTTGTTATAAAATGCCACGTTCCCCAAGCCCGGAGTTCCTCTCTCACCCTTCAGTCTTCTTCATGTGTAGGTGTCCATCTGGGCCTCCGTGTCACACTGTGGGTTTTGAGAGAAAAAGGGAACCTCACAAATAGGCTGTGGGCTGGGCGGGAGTCATCAAGTCCTGCCCTCTGCCAGCCTTGTTTGCCCTCAGAGGGAAGAAAAGGGAAATGCTCTTTGACAGAGTCTACGTGGAACAGGGTGGCTGATGGGCACATTCAGGGGTTCCCTTCCCAAGCTTCCAAGGATAACAAAATGGAACCCCAGCCCCGCTAGCCCAATGAGGTAGGCTGGGAAATGCTTGCAGGAGGAGCTGGGGGTGCTTAGAGAGAGTGGGGAGCTCCAAGGGGCTGGATCTCACCAAGGCCATGCTCACAAGCCAGGGACTTGAACTTTAGTGAGCAGAGCCCTTGGAGGGCTAAGTCAACAGTTTGGGTTCTAGAAAGAGCTCTCTGGCTTTGAGGTAGAGAACGGTCAATGGGGTAAATGAAGGTGTGAAGGACATGGATGAACCTCAGGGTTCACACAGGCACCATTGGACACAGAGACAGGTGAGTTAGATCACAGACGGTCACTGACACAGAGTAGATATTGTCCAGGGAGAGTGTATGACAAGAGGAGAGAAAGTCTTGGCCAGATCCCAGAAAGAAGCAGTCAGGGAAGTAGGGGTTGGGCTGAAGGCAGGGAAAAGGGGCCTAACCTTGAGACCAATGACAGACAAAGAGAGGAAACCAATGGTGGGCTTCTCCCAATGCCGACAGGTCAGAGTCTGTGGCACTGCAGTCCCAGCCCGCAGGACTGAGGAGCAGGCACAGTGGAGAGCACACAGTATACCCTGACCTCAGGAAGCCACAGCAACCAGAGCTAAGGAGGTGCTGGGGTGCAGGCTGTGAGGTGGCAGGGAGGAGCCAGAGAAGGCTTTGGAGGAATCATGACATTTAATCAACATGTACTGAGTGTCTCCCAAGGCCAGACCCTGGCTAGATCAGAAATAGTGTTGGCTTTGAGCATGAGCCAGGCAGATAAGAACGTGATGGGAAGGCAGTGGGGTCCTCGTGCTTGAGATCTGGGCTGTCCTCTGAACAAGCTGGCTGGGTCAGGGGGCAGGGGGCAGGAGTGTGCCCTGGAGGAGTCGGGCCCCAGCTGGGCGCCCTATCCAGCTGGAGCAGTGAGATAATGCTGAAAGGAGCCTGGCCAGTTTGCTTTATCATGTGTGTAACTTGGGATAACTTGACAGAAGGGTAGAGAGTCGTCCACTACGTGACTTGAAGGAAGGAGGTGCAGAAAAACATAATTATTAAGCAGGTACCAGATGCCAGGCACTCACTAGGTGCTTTCTGTGCCAGCGCTTCTCAAACTCAATGCTTTTACCAATCTCTGAAGAATTTCAGAATCGAATTCAGTAGGTCTAAGGTGAGGTGCTGTGTTTCTAATAAGCCTCCTCCGCCACCTGTAGCTCATTTACTCTGCACCCAGTGCTGTCCAGTGAATATAATGGGCTCCCTTTCATGGGCAGAAAAGATGATGTTTTGTGGGTTTTTCTCAGCTTGCCTAAAAGTGTGCCATTAAAGAGAATTGCACTCCACTAATGTTTGGGTAAAAAAACACAGCCCCCAAATCATCACTCCTGCCAGCCCCATCTTGGTCCGCTCTAGGAGGCTCTTCATCTGTGAATTCTAATCATTTTGTTGTCAACTGGCCTCCAGCCTGGAGCTTCTGAGCCTGCTTGCAGCAGTATTTAAAGATAGCCCACCTCACAGGAAACCAGACACTATTGGCTAACTTTGCAAATAAAGATGCCCTCAGAGGGAGGAAAAGGGAAATGGTCTCTGACAGAGTCTACGTGGGACAGGGAGGCTGATTGACACGTTCAGAGGTTCCCTTCCCAAGCACAGCCCAGGTAGGTGCAGAGGGCTCGAGCAGCACCCGTGGGCACATGGGGCAGGACGCTGTGGTCACAGGTCAAAGTGGGGTAATGATGCTGGTTTTCTTCACATGCCAACAAGGATGACCACTAATCTGAGGATGTTCTAGCCTAACTGTCTGAAGGGCTTGAGGAGTAGGGAGCAGTGACTGATTAGATCACTTATGATATATTTGTGCTAGAATATGATCAGAAGCATTAGTGAGGGCCTAGAGAAATGCTCCATGATTTGCCATTAACTTAAAAAAAAAAAAAAAAAGCATCATTTAAAAGTTCACCTGAATGATACTATAGAATTATTGTTAAAATTTTAAGGTGAGAAATAGTGTTAAAAGTTGTGTTTTTTTTTTAAAGGAATCTTTATTCTTTTAGAGATTCACACTTAACTGTGTATGAGTGAAATGCTATGATGTCTGAATTTATTTTTAAACAATACAGCAGGGCATGAAGTGGGGAATAGATTAAATATTGACCATAGGTGCTCACTGTTTGAGTGAAGAGTACATGGGATTCTTTCTACTTTTATGTATGTTTGAAAATTTTATAATAAAAGTGAAATTTTATAATAAAAATAGCAACTACATTTTAAGTATAAATGTAAATATACTTAACATGAATAGACAAATATAAAATATGCTTAAAGATTGGACTTAAGATGCTAAAAGCTAGTTGTGGTTGAATCTGGGAAGTTAACTTGTAGATAGTTTGTGTGTTTTATTCCCTTTTATTTATTTATTTATTATTTTTATTTTATTTTTATTTTTTTATTAAATTATTATCTGTGTACATACTTTACCATTGCCTCTCCCACCTCCCATACATGCCCTCCCTCCCTTATTCCCTTTTATTTCCATGCTTTTTTAAAATTAAATTATTATCTGTGTACATATTTTACCATTGCCCCACCCTCCCATACATACCCTCCCTCCCTAGAGTTTTGTGTCCATTGGTTGTACTTATTTCCATGCTTTTTTGTGCAGCCACATTTTTATAAAGAGTACCTATTGCATTTATCATGAAGACAGTTTTAATTAATAAATTGCTGGCACAATATTGCTATACACTGTCATAATCATTGTGAGAACACTCATGTTCACAAGGTTTGCGTCATTGAAAAACGCGGTCTTCATAAAGAAATTATGAGTGGGCACAGCTAGATTTCCCCTAGCTCTCAGGCCGACCTGATGCTTTCTCATGCCCTTGGGAAGGGAGCCCCTACTGTGTGTCAGCCACATGCCAGCCATTCCCCCCATCCCACCTCCGCTTAACTGTCATTCTCTCCATGTCACAGATGGGGGCCGGGGGGGGGGGGGGGGAGGGCAGCGGTAAGACAGCTTGGCTTTAGGATAAAGCCCTGGCTCTGTATTTGACCTTGCTAAGCCTCAAATCCTGCTTTCAAAATAAAGATGGGCCGTGAGTTGATAATTAGTGATGAGTTTATAATCATTAAAGCCAGGTTATGGGTCCATGTTGAGTATCAGTGAGGATTGAGGTATAGTATATAAAGTTCTGACCACGCTTCCTGGCCCTTATTTGTTGCTCAAGAAACAATATATGTTGTCATTATGGGAAAATGAGGCTCAGAAAGTTTGTACTTCAAGATCACTGGCTACTTTCAGATGAGGTTGTGAGGGACAGGAGAGGAAGGGACAAGCCAGCGCTGACCCCATATAGGACTACCTTCCTTTCCCTTCCCCATTCCCACACTAACTCCCACCACCCCTGAATTCCCCAACCCACCCTGACTGGGCTTTGGAAGGGCAGCAGTGTCAGAGACGTTGACCTCAAAAAACAGACTTCCTGAAATATTCGACTGACGCCTCTCCAGCCCAGCCTCTGACCTGGAATGGAGTCTTCAGCTGCCCATTTCCATCAGGTTCAAACGTTGCCCCCTTGATGATGTTCAGAACCAGCACCTGCAGTGGCTGAGCTGGACCGAGAGGGGAACATATACTGTCCCATAGCAGGTCACAGCTAGGAGCCAGGGGACACAGGCCAGGTCTTCACTGACCTTTCCAAGGACTTGCTCTGATTCCCAACAGCACATTCAGGGATCCTGAGTCTGCCCGGGAGCGCCCAGAGAAAGCCTGAGGCTTCCAGCCCGATCCTGATCCCGCCTGCCCACCGTGGAGGCTCAGAACGTGCTGGACACCAAAGAGCTGGAGTCCTCGTGGCTCTCTAGACACAGTGGGCAATTCAACCACTTCATCGTTGGGTGTGGCCAACCTGCAGCTGTTTTGTATTTTGAGTCTCAGAAGGAAGAAAACCCATAGTACATCTCTTTAAATATCTTCCCACACCCTTTTTGGCCTTTTTCCTTAAACCTGTTTATTACGAAACACTCAAAGAACAGTGTGTAGATTAACGGATTATTACGAATTGATCTCCAGGCAGTGGGAATAACTGGGCCAGCAGACCAGCAGCCTCCCTCTGTCTCTTCCTGACCCCAATGCCCACCGTCCCAGAAGTCACTGCCATCCTGCCTTTTATGGTCTTTATTTCCTTGCTTGTGCTCATACGTTTACCACCCAGATGTGCTTCCCTAAACAATATGGATTATCACTGAGATCTGGGACATTTGGCTGCCCCTTCCCCTTTATGTATGTGAATTTATGCAGTAGTCTGCCTTTTTGGTCTGTATTTTTAAAATGTACCTATGTTGAAGGAGATGTACAATAGATACATATAGATAAATGTTGATGGTAGCATTGCACTGACAGTACTATGATGACAAGAGTGGAGCACTCTAACAATGGCATCCTGCAGAGCAATGAGGACAGATCACAGTTTCAGCAACAGCATGGATGAAATACTTCCAGAAATCCTGATATGAATTTACAGATAAACGCAAAACCGGTCCTTATCTGTAAGGCAGTTATCGCCTGCAACTCACTGACACAATTTCTATTTCCAGGAGCAAAAATCACAGTACTGCTCTCAGCTGGTTACAACTTAGTAGTAAATTAGATCAACCAATGGGGAAGGCGAAGGTGGCCCTGGGGGGGTGGGGGTGCTAGGAAGGACATCAGCAATATTTGGAGGGTGGGGGTGGGGATGCTATTTCAAAGTCATTTATAATTTGTCCTTATAGTTTCTTAGCATGGAATTTGAGACTCTTCTGCCTACTTGGTCTTGGCTCTCTCTGCATCCTGTTGGAGCCCTATACTTGGACTAAACCAAACTTCCCTGAATGCTTTAAAGATAAGCCAGCCTCATCTAACCCTACACACACATACACCTCTTAGAATGCAGGGAGAGCTAAGGCTGAGGAGGTAGAAGAGGGACAGATGGAAGGGCCTTGGATTGGACACATTTTACCACTTGCACCCTGTCCCCTGTGCAAGATGAGTGGGTCTCTACTCCTGTGGTGAGTCTACTTCAACCTACTTTTATATGGGGTCAAGCACAGAGCCCAAGGCAAAGACAGCAACAGGAGGAAACAGTGCCTGAGGTGAGGGCCCTGTGCTGGGTGAGCCACCTCTTGCAGAGCCTGCCTTGTTCTGGGTTTGACACGCCTTCCCTCTCTTTTCTTCAAAGTACCTTAAGGTATTTATCTACTACCTCTGCCAAAGGAAACTAAAATATTGAAAAGAAGTGCTTCATGAATTTAGAAAATAGTTGAGAAAGAGGTGGAATTGTTTATTAATTAATTATTAATTAAGTCAATGTTTATTAAGTATCTTTACTATATGATAGTGTAAGCACAAATAACAATTAAAAATATGACACTTCTCCCTGTTGATGAGGAGCTGGGTGCAAAAGGTGAATTTTAAAGGGATTAAGAAGTACAAATTGGCAGCTACAAAATAATCCCGGGGATGTAAAGTCCAGCATAGTGAATATAGGCAGTAATATTTTATTAAAACCCCTTTACTTTTAAAAATTTCACTGTACTTTAATTAAGATTCTCTGGATCTTAATTTAAATTTTTGTTTCTGTTTCTTTAATTATAGTTGGTCCTTATGTCCTTCTGTTTCTAGTATATCCTCTCTACCTAGCCTTTGACCCAGGAGAGCTCCCCATGCTCAGATCCTCAGTACCTTTGGCTCCAAATCCCTTTGTACCCTTCATTCCCATCTTTTTTTTTTTTTTCATTCCCATCTTTATCGTTGTCTAGCTGGAAGACCCTCCCAGGCATTAAGACAATTCTTGGGCTTCCCATAACTTTTTAAATATTCTGACATGAAAAAAATTAAACTTCACAATATTGTTTTAGACATTAGACTGCAACTCAAACCCAGTCGTCACTCAAGGGCTTAGAAAGCCATAAACAGAGACCAAGGAGGTTAAAAAACAAGTAAAAGAAGTGAGCAGGACTTGAAACCAAAGGAAAGAGGGGATGAAGCCTCTTTCTGTTTACAACCTGAAAAGGACATTGGATAGAAGAAGAAAATAGATTTGGGCCACTAATAAGGGAGGAAGTATAGGAAAGGGAAGCTGATTGGAAACGGTGGGTAATGATGATTTTTTTTTTTTTAAAGAGTGAGCTTGAGAAAAGGAAGTGGACCAGAGGAAGTAGAACAAACTGGGTGGGGAGTAAGAGGGTGCATTTTTTTTCTCTTTAAATTAGGCTCTTCAAAATTCATTTCTACAGGGGTCTGAAATCCACACGCATTCAAAACTCAGCTTCTAGTTCAGTTCAAACTCTCTCAGCTCAACACCTTTTAATCAAACCTTGACATAAGGGAAGAGAACGGAGGACCCCTGAGAAGAGCCTAGAGGGTATTGCTGCTGGCTTCTGCCCTAGGCTGTGCAGAGCAGCCTTGGTTGACAGTGTCTGCATGAACTTGGTGTGCACCTCTCTGCTTGCAGCACGGTCTGTATAAACCTAGCTGAGTAGACACTGCAAAAGTTTACTTACCTCATTGAATACTAGAGTCCTCAGGGGCCAGGAAAGCCAGTGTTCAGCCTAAGTAGAAGCTCTTGATAGCTCCTTGACATCCTCTGAAGACCACCCCCAAGGATTGGTCCTACCC